CACGAGTATGGGATGTCTCAGAAAATTAAGTCCAAAGTTTTTATATGGAATATTTTGTTTGAAGCATAAACCATGTTTATCTAATCTGTTATGTATTTTTGCAACTTATACATTGAAGACAAAGATATTTATGTAGTTAAGAACAAAAATTATTACACAGGGTGTCTCAACAATTTTATTTTAAACCAAACTACACTCTAAGAAAACCAATAACCAAAATAACGGTTAAAAAAATTGAGTTCAAAGTTTTTATATCAAATGTTTGATGTATCGGTTTAATGATTTTGAATATGTATTGGTCTGTTGTATTAACAACACAGTTAGGGCCAGTTTCACAAACAGTGGTACCTAACCCAACGGTAAACACAAGACACTGGTAACCTACAATGTATCTGTTTCCTAATGTGTGGTTTAGCCAAAACCTTTGGTCAGCTTCAGAATATTCCATGTAGTCAACCCGCAAATATGAGTCCGATAGCCAGTGCAGGTTACCACAAGGCTACCACCAATTGTGAAACTGGGCGTATATGGCATATTTTTGTATTTGTTGATCTATTTCTACAGTATTAAATCCAAATCCTTTCCGAGGAACAGTAGCTACTTTAAATAGTCTCTGGTGATCATTGTAACAATGTTTCTAGTTATTATTGATATTTTAGGTTATTATAGTTTTTTAGCAGTTGTTTTGGTTATTGGCTTTCTTTAGAGAGTAGTTTGGTTTAAAATATAATTTTTGAGACACCCTGTATAATAATTTTTATCCTTAACTACATAAATAGCTTTGTCTTTAATGTATAAGTTGCAAAATCACATAACAGATCAGTTAAACAACGGCTAAACATTAGTTTATGCTTCAAAGAAAATATTTCATATAAAAACTTTGAACTCAATTTTCTGGGATATCCCATACTCGTACAAAGAAGTGACCATAAGCACAAATACTTGTTTTCAGGTATAGAATAACATACTGCAGTTTTAAAAAAATCGGCCGATCACCAGGATTCTAATATTTAGTGCTATGTCCTTCGCGCATGGTGAAACGGTCCCGCAAGTCCTTGCAATCACTTTGATAACTTTGGCATTTAAAACTGGTAAATCAGTAGCGCCCAAACACTTTTTTCCGGTAAATATGACAAAATTCCAGATTTTTTCTGTAATTTGCTCGTTTCTGCAAATAGCGTACATATGCAAGTCGGCCATATTTGCAGAACTGCAAGTTTGCAGATGCAAATATACTGTAATTTAGCCCTAAATCCTTAACACATTCAGATGGTGGGATGCTAGGAAAGAGATTGCAAACATCTAACGGAACTAGTTTATCAGTATCCGGTATTATGTATTTAGATCTTTAATGTCATTTGTGAAGAGTTTTTCATAGCAAACTTGCTTTTGAAATTAGTTGAAGAGAGAATTTTGAGTGTTCAACTATGATGAAAAGTTATGACAAGGGGAGATTATGCAGCTTACAACACGTCTGATAGGAATATTTGTCTTATGGATTTTACGTAGGCTGTAGATTTTTTGTTAGAATGACTAAACAATTGCCCTTGTCAGCTTTAGGGCCAAATTATGGATCTAGTGGTGACGTTATTGGCAAATTTATCCTGCTGGTGATGCTAAAAATTGCATGCAATTTTCAGTTTTACCAGCAGGTTAAACTTGCCAGAGACGTTACCAGTCGGTCCATAATTTGGCTCTTAGTGAAATTTAAATTGTTGTCTCGAGATTTATTATTCAAAGATTTTAAAGTCTTAAAATTTGGATCCTTCTTAGGACTGTTATTTAGATGAAACTTATTCAGGCAACATTTTTAAGAGTAGAATTTAGAATTGGGTCATTAGGGTTAAAAGAAAATTTAGAATTACGTTTTTGTTTATGAGCAAGTGAGTTAATTTTTGATTTTAAGCGGTTATATTTTATACCTAATATTTTGGTCCTCAACAAAGCTAGATGTCGCTGGTATTAGGACTATGATTTGATTTTTCTTAGTTTAAAAAGACCACTACACCTTGGTAGTTTTTTCTTGCTGAATTGTTCAAATTATACATTATTGACAGCCATTTTATTTAGATTCTTCATTCTTGCCATGAGCTCTATGTCCTGCGATATCTCTTCACATATCCCCTGTAGGTAGTATGACAGTTCTTACGGTATTAGCGTTAGTGGATCCCTATCTTCAACTGTTTTAGAAATATTAAAGAGTTGAAAATTGACTTTTTTGCATCTTTGACAGACTGTAAAACCTGAATGGTTAATTTTACGGCAAAACCTATCATACATTCCTGTCTTAGTTTTTCATAAACTATTATTTGACACCAACCTTAAATTTAATCCATGATTAAAAATTCCGCTTAAATTATTAATCTTCGGTTAAATTCGAAGTTGGTGTCAAATGATAGCTTATGAAAATCTAAGATGGGAATGTGAAATAGGTTTTCCTCTAAAGTTAACCGTTTAGGTTTTACAGTCTGTCGAAGATGCAAAAAAGTCAATTTTAAACTGTCAATATTCCCGAAACAGTTGAAGATAGGTATATGACATTTCGCATGTTGCTAAATTCACCAAAATGGTGCACCGCCACGGATGCGGTGATTAAAATTCACTAATGCCAATGCCAAACCACAGCTTGTCGAACCGTGTTTAATTTAACAACAGGGCTTGTTTTACCATTGCACCACGGTGCCTACACCAGCTGAATTTAGCCACATGCGGATTATGCATGAAATGTCTAGAATTTTCCACAGAATCAAGAAATGTCATAATATACAGGGAGAGTCATTTAAAAAAACATAACTTTTTATCACCACTACTTATTGGGCCACCCTATACAGGGTGACACAAGCAATAGGGAACAGCCTATAACTTTTTTAATATATAAGTTGAAAATTTTGTTATAAAACTTTCAAAAATGGTCCTATCATACGTAAAATGATCTGGTGATGCCAGAAAACTCAAAAAATACCGGGTGTCCCATTTGAAAATTAAAAGTAATGGCCACTTCCGGTTTAACCGGAAGTGACTCGTAACGCTCGTAACTTTTAAAAAACTGAAAAAGTTGCCTCGTTTAAGCTCCCCAAATTTCAAATTTTCAACTTCTATATTAAAAAAGTTATAGGTTGTTCCCTATTCCTTGTGTCACCCTGTATACTAGAAAATAATTTAGGAATGTAGTACTCATGTTTATCTACAAGTTTTGTATTTATTTTTTTCTTCGATCTCCGTTAGTATAGGAGATATGGACGACCGCGCGCTTACTAACTCACCCTGTCTATTGGTCTTCAGATGTACAGGGTGGCGCAAATTCGCGTCGGTTAAATTATGGCAAAGTTGCGTAATTTTATGACCAATGGAATGCCGTTTTGAAACTAGAAAGATTCCGAATACTTCCGGACATATTCGGAAAAAACCGAACTTTTGTAAAATCGTTTTTATTTTTTCCTGGGTTTATTTGAAGAGCAATTTTAAAATAAATGTCACTTCATCGTTGTCACTTTTTCCCCTTTGGAAGATAGTGCTACTAAATTTAAAATTCGACGTTTCGTCTTCAGACGGCCATCCCCAACTTGCTTTTTTTAAACAAGGACCTGGATTTTTTTGGTGCGATTTTGTCATCTTCGGGCATCCTAAAACCGATACTGTTTATAATTTTTCAATAACAGTAAAAAAAGCGGTCCTTATTTAAAAATAAATAAATTGATGATGATTCCAGAGGAACGAAACGTTGGATTTTAAATTTAATACCGCCATCTTGTAGAGAAGAAAAAGTGACAATGACAATGTAAAATTAGTTTTTCACAATCTTTTTAGATAAAATCAGGGAAAAATGAGAACTATACAAAAAAAAAACATGAATTTCTCGTTTTTCTTAAATTTTTTCCTGATTCCATATGAAAATATTTTGAAAAACTAATTCCACATTCCCATTGTCACTTTTTCTTCCCTACAAGATGGCAGTATTAAATTTGAAATCCAACGTTTCGTTCCTCTGGAATCATAATCAATTTATTTTTTTTAAATACGGACCTGCTTTTTTCATGGTGTTATTGAAAAATTATAAACAGTATCGGTTTTAGGATGCCCAAAGATAACAAAATCGCAAATAAAAAATCTAGGTCCATATTTAAAGAATTTAAGTTGAGGATGGCCGCCTGAATACGAAACGTCGAATTCATCGACATCTTCTAAAGGGGAGAAAGTGACAATGATGAAGTGACAATTATTTCAATTTTGCTTTTCAAATAAGCCCGGGAAAAAATAAAAACAATTTTACAAAATTTCGGTTTTTTCCGAATATCTCCGGAAGTATTCGGAATATTTATAGTTTCAAAACGGCATTCCATTGGTCATAAAATTGCGCAACTTTGCCATAATTTAATCGTATCTCTTACGGTTACCGAGATCCCATTGATGAGGCTCGAATTTGGGCCACCCTGTACAGCAGTATCCCAGACAGTTAATGGTTCATGTATCTTCTCAATCAATTCACTGGACGAGTCTATGTTTTTGGGGGTAATTCAAGATAATGAATTATTAAAACACATAAATTCCGAAAAAAACAGGGTGCTACGGAATATCAGCTACATTAATCATGCATTGAGCAAGCCTCATCATTGATATAGAAAACCGGAAATAGACTTAATTTAGGGTAATGTTAATGTATTTTTAAACTTAAATAGCGTAAAGACAGCTCCACCGAATATCAACATATATGGTAATTCGGAATCAGAAGAAAAAAAATCCATCGTTCTCTCCAAAAATATACAGGGTGTTCCATTTAAAAAAAAGCAAGTGTTTGTCATTATGACAGTTGGCAGCTGTCATTTGCCGTTTTGACATTTGTAGAAGATAAAGCCCTAAAACGTTTGTTTTCAACTTTTTTTTTTAAATTTTTTTTTGTTTAAGCTGTAGAAACCGTACTAATTATAAGAAACCGACCCTGTACAATTTCTTACAACAAACAAGTTATGTTGAAGTTGAAACCTTCATCAAAATTGAATTACCTTCGATATGCGACCGGCAACAGGTTCGGAACTTGTTTTTCGAGGTTTTCCAAGATTGCCACTGCTCGATTCGGGTTTCCGCAGCACTCCTCGAACATAGCCCACTGACAATGTAAATTAGGCTTTTTCAAGTGATGTATGGTACAGGCTCTCTCATAAATCTCGCGGATTCGTTGTTCCTGTTCAGGATCCTTATTTGTGTTGTTGCTTTCCAGGAAATTGATGTATTTCATCCAGAAGTCTTCGTAGAGGGCGCACGCGATCAGGCATCTTTCAAATAAAACGGTTATCCGCTGTTTATCACCCTGTGCGATCTCATAATCCAAATATTCTTGCCAGTTTTTCAGTTGGCAACGTTCCAGCGGTTTGACGTGGAAATATGGACGCTTGATCTGGAACAAATTCAATTGTCAATAGTCTATTTATACAATAAGTTACAAAATGACCGTCTATTAGGCACATGACAAGGACAAAAATGATAAAAAAACTGTAATGTAAAAAAATTACTTACCCCTTCCTCAAAGTTCCAACGCGCCTGGACGGCGTTCACAGTATTTTTGTGAACTTTTCTCCGTATAGATACAATACGTTCTCTTATAGCTTTTGTTTCATCCTCGGTGCTTAAAAAAAAAAAATTGTAGGTAAGTATACATTGATAGCTGAATTTTCCGAAATTTATGTCATTATGCCAAGAAGTGGGTTTTCTTGTGCTGAGCACAACGTTTGAAAATTGAGCGAAGGATAAATATAACTTCTGGACCGAATAGCATACAACATTTTATCTTCAGACTTCAAGCAACTGCAATATTCCCTTTCACAACTAAAAAAACACCTGACGAAGTGGCACTGGTGATGGCCCAAGGCCAAGCGTGCTCTTCACTGATTTTATAACAATTTTTTTTTTGTACGTAATACAAGACTTTCATTCAGTCATTTGCTAAACATGCACACAGTACACAACCTTATTTAAAAAAATAATTCCTTACGTGTAAACTTTAGAATCCTCATCGCCAGGTGGCAGTTCTACATCCTCCGCCTTTTCTTCAGATTTTAGTGTGGCGCGCACTTCTTTGCGAAGCGCCATAAACTCGTCCACATCCAAAATTTTGTTGGGCAAGTTCGAAGCGACATGGTCTTGGAAACTGTCAAAATGAGAGGTGTAGCCCTGCGTTGGAATAGCAAGGAGTCTGTCGAAGAGCGATGTTACTTTCTGTAAACGTTTTCCTTCAGTTTCCCATTTAATGTAGGTATCCCATAATCGATCCGAACGGAATTCGAGGCCGCAGGCGCCGAGTGCTCTCTCGAACTGCATTCTAAAAGGAAAAAATGTTCTTTCATTTTTGAAGTTTTTTATATAATTATAAATAAGGCAAAGGCAGTTACCTTAAATATTCCTCATCCTCGCCTTTGACAGTCTTGACGTGAGACAGATAGTGAATCCACAGATCTACGGAGAGTGGAATAGCTTTAAGGCCTCGTTCAAATACCTAAAGAAATTCCTTTTAGATTAGATTTGATGTTGCTTGGAAAAATTATTGGACAGATAATGCGATGGGAATGTGAATGCGGTTTCTGTTATAAAACCTAGGTTGTGCCTGAAAAATTAATATTCAATGTTCTAGACTGACTTGCAAATAATCATTATCAATAAGGAAGTAACAGTTAGAATACCTTCACAAAAATTTTAAATTACAATAAAATCATTATCCAACTTCTTTCAACCTTATGAAGCAAGTTGGCTTACAAATAACATTTATGTTCTAAACATTAGATTAATATATTTAATCTGATTGTGTAAAACACAGTAAATCTTAAACTACAAATATCATTTCAGCAGCTTCTCCAGCAGGACGTAGACGGCGTATCATATTAACCTAATAAAAATAACACGGACAATCAAAAAATAATGGAAAATACAGAAACAATTATTCCGCAACATTCTAACTGTTAATTGAAAAGCAAACACAAAAATCTAGAACATATAACACAAAAAAGAAACAATTATAAGGTCGCATTATCTGTCATAATATATTTTATAAAATAATTCATAGCCTTAATTAAATTACAACTAATATATTTCATGACGCCATTATAGCCCTTACATTTTGAGCCAGTTAAGTTGGTAGCATTTAAAACACTACTGACTATAGGCATGCCCCTTCAGCATCAGGAACCACCATGTGTGTGATGTCACATTTCATAGTCTCTGTCCTAGGCTAGTCATCCCTCCAAATCTCTTTTGGCGCTGAACTCGTTGTGGGGTGGAGGGAAAGGGGTTTGAGAATGGGGCTCTTTTATTATAATATTAATAATAAATAACAAAGGTACAATAATTGTTTTGGTATTACAATAATAAAATATTATTTGCTAATAATAATAAGTTATATCTATATCTAATTTGACCAATCTAATATGTATGGTAAATAATAAATGTTATTATTATTATATAATAACCTAAATGCTGATTGGCACAGGAAGAGCTGTGGGGGTATGAAAAACAATCAATTTTTTTTTATAAATGTATCAAAAAACAGGCTTCTTGGTATAATATAAAAAAGAGATAGTTTATATAAACAAATAATATACAGTATAATAAAAAAGTCACTCACCTCTTCACATTTTTTTTTGTAGCCTTTCTTTTTCTCGTAGTCGGCGTATTTGCGCCAATATCCGTAGCAGTAGGGATAATGAGAGAGGAAGGCATCATAGGCTTCCCTTGCAGCTTCCATGTCATTCTAGAAAGTATTCAAGCATTAAGTCTTCCAGACGCAAACACATTGGTACAGTAGGCACGTGCGTGGAGCTCTGAGGTTGCTGCCAGCGGGCAAATAAATGCAATCTCAGTATTCTCAGTATGCAGTGTAAAGTGAACCTTTCCGTTAGAAAACTTATTTTTGAAAAAATCAAGATAGCCATTTGATGTATTTTGTTTCTAGCAATTTGGAAACATTTTTCGAAATTTAATTAGATATTTCGTTGAAGCGCTGTGAAGAAAAATAGTTAAAGTATACTCCTGCTTATGGTGATGATTCTGTGCAGTGCAGTGGTGCGATAATTTTGTCCAGGAGTATATGTTTTTTTTTTTAAGTGAAAGCGGCTAGGAGTAGGGATTCAAATGGTTCCGCTAACTCCGCCCCCACTTTACTATCGCATACTTGGCAACTCTGAACATTAAACCAGAATCGGTGCTACAAAAGTGTATTCTTATTGTCACGATCCAGGTGGTGACTATTGTAGATATGAATTTATGATTTTCAACTTTCAAACTATGCTTTATTCTGGCAAGACATACAATATTCTTTCATTAGAATTATTGCCACGATGTGTTTTATTTGACACTTTGTCAATCTCAAGTGAAGTATATATTAAAGGTGTTTCAAAAACAATTACCTTTACACATAGTGAGAATCAGGCCTATGATGTATCTACTCCTGTTATTTTAACAGCCATGTTATAGCTCAACATCTATACTTCTCTCTTTTTTGACGTATAGAATAAACAGTGACAGGTAACTTAACGTTGCTGTTAAAATAACAGAAAATGATACATCATAGGCCTGAATAACTCTGTACAATAACAGAAATTATAAGAACATGTTATAAAGGAAAAGAAAAATACATCAATAGCGAATTAGACACTTATCCTTATATTTTACATAATTTTAGACAAAGATGCGGATACACTCACTGCGCACTGATTGACAAATGGAAATTATCATAAAATACCTATAGGTCGCATTTTGACATGACAATTGAATAGAAGCCGCTGATTGATGGAACGATGGAATTCGAGGTGGAGTTTATTTTTTTGCAGCATTGCTAATTTTCATTGAAAAATAATTGCTTTCCACGTGTTAGAGAAAGATACAAAATTACACAAGGATTAATAAGTAGTGGGGAGAGATGCGGTTCCTGGGATGAAGTCAACCTATATTATTGTTTATTTACGACTAATGTATAATGTGCGTATTATATTTGTGATTTTGGCAGTATAATGACATATGTTATTCCTCCAGGGATTAATGACGAGTAGCGGGATTAATGGTCATTATTCCACAAAAGTGTCAGTGTCAAACGTGTAGTGCTTGTGGATTTGTATTGAAAATTATGAGACGGATGAAATTTGTTCATTGAAAATCTCAAATAAATTAATTTGTCGTAAATAAAGTAGAGTATACTACTCGCAATAATGGCTATTATTCCCTCGGAATGTTACTCCCTCGCCGCTAACGCGGCTCAGTTCGTAATAATCCTCGGGAATAATAGCTATCATTATTGACTCGTGGTATAATCTACTATTATTGTTCTGTCTATCTGTGTTAATAGGTCATTGGGATTATCGCGCTTGGTGGCATTTATAGCAAATTCTATCCTAGAAATTTTTTTACATTTTAAAGTATTAAAGTTTAGTTCGTTGTATAACCTTTTGAACTCGATGTTTCAGGATTACCTAGGGTTTCCATAAGTCCGGATTTACCCGGACATGTTTGGGTTTTTAGGGTGTCCGGGGAAGTCCGGCCGGAATTCGGAACAACATCCGGAAAACTAGGAGATCGTGAAAACACTCATACTCAGTTTACACGGACTATCCAAAAGACGTAAAATTTCACTTCACGCATTAGTACGTAAAGTAAGCCAAGCATACTCGAGTATGCTGGATTATGTGATGTGTCAATTATTGTGTCATACTCCCCTAACTTACCCACTATCAAATTCTGGAATACTCGAGGATCAAGAACACTTAACTTCTTCTGTGAGAACAGACCGAAAATCACCTTTCCTACATTTAAAACCGACGAAAAAATTAACTCACTAGCACAGCCTGAATTCTATCGTGGTCTGCGGTTGACGTCATCACTATAAGCTACTGGTAGTGACGTCATTCGCAGGCCCAGAATTGAATGTTGAGGGAGTTAGGCGAGAATGACACAGTTGATACATCACATAACCCAGTACAGCATAATTAGATTATGCTTGATTATCTTCGCGAAACATTGCCTACTAGCGCGTGAAATAATGTCAATGATAGATGTCGACAATGTAATTTTTTTTCTAGTAAATTTCTTCACTAGTCCGTAAAGTATTTGTCTAAATTTATTGTTTTACATATATTTTATTGGTAGTAGAATTTTTTTTGTATATTATGCAATACGTGTAGCTATTTCGGCGAAGTCCGGATTTTATCCGGATTTCTTGACTCCTTTGTCCTGAATTCCGAAAAAATTGTATGGAAACCCTAGGATTACCTAATACTTTTACCTGACACTCAACGCGTTACCAGCAATACCACTCTTCCTTCGGAGTCGTGGTATTGCCAAAGAATATTATAGTTAACACTTATAGAAAACCTATTCCATGTATATTTTTTGACCCCCAAATGGAGCCAGACTTTTCGAGCCGGGCTCCATCGGAGTGGTAGGCTCGCCGTAATCAACGTGGTTCCAGTTGATGGCTACTCGGCGTTGCCATATGTCCATATAAATATGTATAATAATAACTTTAAAACGGTGACCGCGCTGATGTGAAAAAACACGATATGCGGGAAAAAAATGGAAGGTTTTGTCTTGAAAATATCGCTGAAAAATTGCTAGACGATAATAGCAGTTCGAACTCGAGTTTCTCACAGAAATATCAAAGTTTTTCAATTTTTTTCTGGAAAACTGACTAAGTAAAAATTGTGCAATTTTTTCAGGTGAAAGACGAAAGTGATGAGGAGCTTATTATAGGAAAATTTCAAATTTTTCCAATGGAAAATCATCCCAGGAAAAATTCTGGAAAATTGACTTTTTTAAGCAGAATTCATTTTCTTAAATTACATTTATTTCCTAGGAAACTGGCAAAAGGAAAATTGTGAATTTTTTTCAGAAAAAAGAGGAAAGTGAGGATCTTATTATAGCAAAATTTCAAAATTTTCCTGTGAAAAAACACTCCAGGACAAATTTAGGAAAACTGACTTTTTTAAGCGAAATTCATTCTTTTATATTACAATTATTTTCTGGAAAATTGGCAGAGTGAAAACTGTGATATTTTTGCAGGAGAAAGACGAAAATGAGGAGCTTATTATAGTAAAATTTCAAAATTTGCCAGTGGAAAATCATTTCAGGAAAAATTCTGGAAAATTGCCTTTTTTAAGTAACATTCATTTTCTTTCTTTTTAGTTTTTTTCTAGAAAACTGGCAAAAGGAAAATTGTGAAATTTTTTAAGAAAAAAGAGGAAAGTGAGGATCTCATTATAACAAAATTTCAAAATTTTCCAGTGAAAAAACACTCCAGGACAAATTTAGGAAAACTGACTTTTTTAAGTGAAATTCATTCTTTTATATTACAATTATTTTCTGGAAAATTGGCAGAGTGGAAATTGTGATATTTTTGCAGGAGAAAGACGAAAATGAGGAGCTTATTATAGGAAAATTTCAAAATTTTCCAGTGGAAAATCATTTCAGGAAAAATACTGGAAAATTGACTTTTTTAAGTAAAATTCATTTTCCTTCTTTTTAGTTTTTTTCGAGAAAACTGGCAAAAGGAAAATTGTGAAAATTTTCCAGAAAAAAGTGAAAAGCGAGTTCATTAAAGTAAATTTTTAAAATTTTCTAATGAAAAGTCACTCGAGGAAAAATTCTGGAAAATTGACTTATTTAAGCAAAGTTAAGGAAAATTTACCCTCTTACATATTAATTTTTTTCTTGAAAACTGGCAAAGGGAAAATTTTGAAAATTTTCCAGGAAAAAGAGAAAAGTGAGGAGCTTATTACAGGGAAATTTCGAAATTTTCCAGTAAAAAATCATTCCAGGGGGGGTTTATTTGAAATCTGTGCAAATCTTTCACATGCGACTCAATCGGTCGAAATATGCGCGTCGACGAATTCTAAAAATTCACGATCGGCTTATTTGAAATCTTGTGCATTTTGTAATTCGTGACTTTTTAAATTTGCACTACTCAACTTGGCAACGTGTCCTGTAAAAGATTCTAACCAATGACATTGTTAAAAAATTTCATATGACCAAACGGAACGATGCATTGAAATGTCAAATTTGAAATTGTTTACCGTCAACAACTAATTGATTATTTCAGCATAAAGTTTCGTGTTTAGTTGGAGGTTTTTCGTTTTTTTTGTTGATAATCTTAGTTCATTCTTCATTCTTTCTATAAGTGTAAGGCAATACCGCAAAAAGGATGGAAAGTGCGGGGGCAAGTGCCAATAAGAGAAGGTCCGGATTTGTTACCAAAAAACAAAAAGAACACTCGGTCGAATATTTGAACAAAAATCCGGCCCTTTTGTCGGGGAAATTTTTGAACTCCTTTTCATGGAAGGAATCTCGAAACATTCTTTTGAAAGCCGAAAGTTTTTTTTTTTAATTCCCCGTCATTACCTAAGAATTGTTAATGCATGCATCTATTCTTGGATTTCTGAAGCCTTTGCGGTTATTGTTATACAATTCGACCCTTTCTAGAGCATTTAAATTAACATTATTTGCGAATTCCATGAGGCCAAGAATATTCTTTATCGACTAAACTGAAATTTTTAAGAAACTTTCGCGTGCAATTTGGAAATGCACTAGCTCTAGGGGTGACGCATGTCAAATGCAATCTTGCGTCAACGAATTTAGCAAAATACGTTGAAGAAAGTTTCAAATAAGCCACATGTGCATTTTTTTGAATTTCACCTTTACAAATTGCGACTTAGTCAGACGTATTTGAATTGCACGTTTCAAATAAACCCCCCCAGGAAAAACTCAAAGAAAATTGACTTATTAAGGCAAAATTGAAGAAAATTCACCCTCTTACATTTTAATTTTTTTCTGGAAAACTGGCAACGGGAAAATTTTGAAATTTTTACAGGAGAAAGAGGAAAGTGAGGAGCTCATTAGAAGAAAATTTCAAAATTTTCCAGTGAAAAATCACTCCAGGAGAAATGTATTTATACATGTATATTTTCGGATAACTGAATAAACTCTATTCTAAGTTAAAATAGTATATTTCCTAACTAGTGCGGAAAGTACCACTTTTCCGCACGCGATTGCAGTTTATCGACCGACGCGCAGCGAAATTCGGCAAGCAATCAAGTGCGGAAAAGATACTTTCCGCACGAGTTAGGAACACTATTTTTTCTACGAGATGAAAGGTAATATTTTCATCTACATATTTATCAATTTAAGATATTTTTTTTCACTTTTTTGTACCTGTACCTGGTAGTATATCCTGTTAATCTGTAAGTACAGGGTGGCCCAAATTCGAGCCTCATCATTGGGATTTTGGAAACCGTAAGAGATACAGGGTCGGTTAAATTATGGCAAAGTTGCGCATTTTGATGCTCAACAAAATGCCGCTTTGATATTCAGGATATTCCGAATACTTCCGGAGATATCCAGAAAAATTTCGAAATTTTGCAAAATTGTTTTTATTTTTTCCTGACTTTATTTGAAGTGATATTTCGAAAAAAATATCACTTCATCATAGCCACTTTTTCTCCCCTACAAGATGCTACCATCAAATTTAAAATCTGACATTTCGTCTTTTGGCCACCATCATCAACTTATTTTTTTTAAATACAACCCTGGATTTTTTATTTCTGATTTTGAGAGCTTCTGATGTTCCAAAACCTATGACGTATCGCATTTATCCGAAAATAGTTATTTATGCAACAAGTGTGTAAAGTGCGACAATCACATGAGTGAAAAAAGGTGCTTTACGCAAGTATTGCATACAAAATTTTTTCTACTACCAATCAAATATGTGTACGAAAATAAATTTAGTCAAATACTTCATGCGCTAGTGCGTAAAGAATTTTCATTTTACGAACTAGTGCGTGAAGTGATTTACCAGAAAAATGCCAAATTGACAGTGTCGACATCTGTCATTGACATTACTTTACGCACTAGTGCGTGAAGTGAAATTTTACGTGTTCTGAATAGCGCGTAAAGTGAGTACTTTACGCACGGTAGTAGAAAAAAATATTTTTTTTTTACTTCTTAGTAATTTCCTACCAAAATTCTTTTCTCTGTCTCTCTCTAACACATTTAGTTTTTATGGAAAGTGCCAATAATATAAATTTTTCGAATAAATGCGATTCGTCATAGGTTTTGGGATATCAGAAGCTCTTGAAATTTGAAATAAAAAACGAGGGTCCGTATCTAGAAAAGTAAAGTTGATGATGGTGGTCCAAAGACGAAACATCATATTTTAAATTTGATGATAGCATCTTGTAGGGGAGAAAAAGTGGCTAAGATGAAGTAATATTTTTTTTGAAGTATCACTTCAAATAAAGTCAGGAAAAAATAAACATTTTGCAAAATTCCGGTTTTTTCTGGATATCTCCAGAAGTATTCGAAATATCCTAAATATCAAAGCGGCATTTTGTTGAGCATCAAAATGCGCAACTTTGCCATAACTTAACCGACCCTGTATCTCTCATGGTTTCCGAGATCCCAATGATGAGGTTCGAATTTGGGCCACCCTGTACCTGTATACCTAAAAATTTCAGGTATTCTACTTTTCGGCACGGAGTGCGGAAAAGTGATCATTTTTCCGCACTCGGTGCGGAAAAAAACGGAAAAGCACTAGGCGGAAAAGTGATACTTAAATGACCGAAAATGCGTGCGGAAAAGTACACTTTTCCGCACGCTCGTAGAAAAAATTTATTACAAAACAATAATTCCGAAGGTGCTCTTTGAAATAATCTATGACTTAATCTTTTATTTAAATTGTTATGACGTCATCGATGACGTAAGTAAAAACCCTCGTGTCGTGCAACGAACTATACATATCGGGTCTTCAAAAAAAAAACAATCAAAAATTGCTTTGGTTACGAAAACGTACGCATTATTGTTTGTATATTGGTCAGGATTTTTGACATGACATTTTGACATTAAATTTCATTGACTGACATTGTCAAAATTAAAGAAAAATATTGCTAAGACGTACGTTTAAAAAACCATAGCAATCTTTGATTGGCTTTTTTTTTGAAGACCCGATATGTTTGGTTGAAATTTCAGACATTTAAAAAGCTATTTTTCAAAAAGGCAAATGACGTAGGTAAGTACAAAACTCGTAAAACTAATTTTTTTTTACGCGTCTCATTTCGTCAGCACCCCTTGTATTTGGAGTTAGTTCCGCTTATGCACATCCTGAAAATGCCAGACAAAAAAAAAATCCTGTGCAATTCACACCCGGTAGAAGTGAAACCTTCATCGAACTGCATGCATTAAGCCTCATTTACACGGTGCAAGTAGTTTGAGCAAGTACTAACGCCAGTAACTAAAATTTAGTAACTTGAATCGTGTAGACACCTTAATTTAGTACTTGAGCAAGTAAACTCTTTAGTCAAGTAATTAGTCAAGTGAATAGAAGCTGGTTCTATTTACTTGAGCAAGTGGCTTCCCCCTCTCGTTTATTTTACTGACTTTAGCGGGCTGGACGTGTGTAGACAGGATTTGTATTTAGTGATTAGTGAAGTACATTAGTGGGGTTTGAATTTGAATATTTTGAGTATTGTGTTGCACCTTGCACCTATTAGTTACCTTTGCAATGTCGTCTGTAACTGCTTCCTGTTGCCAGATATGATAGTGTAATTTCCAATGTAATTTTTACTGGAATAGCAGGTCTCATTACAGTATCTTGTGTGCTAATCATGGGTTTTATTTCAAAAAGTTAACTTATTGAATTGTTCTTTTGTCATCCGCATACAATTTCGATATTCTTTTGGATCTTCCTTAGCCAGTTCAACCAATAATGTGGAAGATGCACCATGTGTTTCTCTACGAGATATCCATGGTCGAACCCAACAACGTTTTCCATTTTCAATTTCTTTCAATAAAATGTGTGATAATTCTCCATAAACACTCAAAATGCATTTTTAAATTTCTTTTCGAACAACTGTACTTGCTGACATTTCACCTCAATTTGCACTAATCACTAAATTCGACTTAAAATCAGTAAAATGCATGTAAACACCCACTTGCACGAAAACAAAGATAATTTAGTTACTGGCGTTAGTACTTGCTCAAGCTACTTGCACCGTGTAAATGAGGCTTTACACACATACTAACATAGACAGTGGCGTCCCCCCCTCCAAAAGACTTGAGAAAGAACGCAAATAAATATAGTTTAAAAAAACTAAAATACACACTGGGGTGTTTGGTTCCACATTTCTCATACATTGAGCACCCCACGCTTTTTTGACAATAATTTTAATATTTTTTGTTCATTAATATTTTCTGTTTATATTAAAAATTATTTTTCACTTTTTAGTTCGATGTATTAAAAGCGTGTTAGCCCCAGATATTTCCAGACTTTTCCAGACATTATTCAGACTTATTCAGGGCTTTCCAGAGTTTTCCAGATTTATCCAGACTTGTACAGACTGATCCGGATTCTGGAAAATGATTCCCAGGTCTTTTGGAACCTTTTTCAGAATTTTTCCGACCCTTCCAAGAAATTTCCAGGCATTTTCCAGACGTTTCCAGAAATTTCCAGGCATTATCTAGAAATTTCCAGACTTATCTAGAGCTTTCCAGAGTTTTCTAGACTTCATCCCGATAAATCCAGACTTGTTCAGACTGATCCGGATTCTGGAAAATGATCCCCAGGTCTTTTGAGACCTTTTTCAGATTTTTTCCAACCCTTTCCAGAAATTTCCAAGTCTGGAACGTTTCCAGACTTTTCCAGACAATATCCAGACTTATCCAGAGTTTTACAGAGTTTTCCAGACATCATCCAGATTAATCCAGACTTGTTCAGACTGATCCGGATTCTGGAAAATGATCCCCAGGTTTTTTGGGACCTTTTTCAGAATTTTTCCAACCCTTTCCAGAAATTTCCAAGTCTTTTCCAGACGTTTCCAGACTTTTCCAGACTTATCCAGAGTTTTACAGACTTTATCAAGATTTATCCAGACCTTATCCAGACTTGTACAGACTGATCGGGATTCTGGAAAATGATCCACAGGTCTTTTGGGACCTTTGGCAGAATTTTTCCGACCCTTTCCAGATATTTCCAGGCTCTTTTCAGACGTTTCCAGAGCTTTCCAGAGTTTTCCAGACTTTATCCAGATTAATCCAGACTTTTTCCAGACTTGTTCAGACTGATCCGGATTCTGGAAAATGATCCCCAGGTCTTTTGGAATCTTTTTCAGATTTTTTCCAACCCTTTCCAAAAATTTCCAAGTCTTTTCCAGACGTTTCCAGAAATTTCCAGACTTTTCCAGAGTTTTCCAGAGTTTTACAGACTTTATCCAGATTTATCCAGACCCTATCCAGACTTGTACAGACTGATCCGAATTCTGGAAAATGATCTCCAGGTCTTTTGGGACCTTTGGCAGAATTTTTCCGACCCTTTCCAGAAATTTCCAGGCTCTTTCCAGACGTTTCCAGAGATTTCCAGACTTTTCCAGACTTCATCCAGATTTATCCAGACTTGTTCCAGCTCACTTGGCTTGTTCCAGGTTCCTGTTGTGTGTTGTGTGTTTGTATTAATATAAGCGTGTTAAAAAAGTGCTTTTTCGTTTAGTTTCATCGGGTCGCTTTTTCGTTTCATCGAGTCTCAAATCACTCCCAACGATTCTAAAGAAGTTTCCACTTCAAAAATGACTCCACTCAACATTCCCTATCTCACGCAGAGCATAATTTTGTTTTAGTTTATATATTTTCTATTTATACAGCAAATTAGACGTAGCAACTAGGTATCATCTAATATGTTGATGTAAAAAATTCTAAAACCGCCGCGGCAGTTAGTCTATCATCTTACAAGGTAAAATCACAGAAAATATATTAAATGCCCGAGAAAATCGCGCAACGCTGTTAAAATTTGTTTGCCGAAAAGCTAGCGCGAATATAATTTATTTCAATTTATAACACCGGAGCAGCGCCTCTAGCGGTCTGCCGTCGCCCATAAGCGTAGGTTTTCTATAGTTAACTATAATATTCTTTGGTATTGCTGCGTAACGCGTTTCGTGACAGGTAAAAGTATTATCCGGTAATCCTGAAACCTCTTGTGGTATTCGAGAATTTCATACATCTGTCAAAACTGACCTTCCAACAATAAACTGACATGTTTTGATTGTTGATTTGAACCAATCAAATTGAAATTACGCGATAATTGCATAGTAACTGGTGCAAGAACTGGTGTTTAGACATTTTTTGACAAAAAAATTAAATTTTTGATTCATGAAATTCTCTCATAAAATACAACTCGTGCAATGGAAATATATTTTTAATTTTTGACAAATGCACTTATGCGTTTTTAACTGAAAAGGCACCCGTGCATTACATGCACTCGTGCTCTTTTTCAACTTGCGGCAAAGGTAAGATAATCTCGAGGACGCTAAAAAGTGTCGCAGTCATGGTAAACTCTGTCCAACCAAAGTTGAACGTTGAAGGTCACTTACTCGAATATATCACAGACGTTGCTTTTTGCTGCTGTCTTCATTGCACGCGTATTGTGTTTATCAAACCAAAATAGGTCCGAACGTATGGTTACAAGGATGAGTAAGTGACCTTCAACGTTCAACTTTGGCTAGACAGAGTTCACATGATACTTGCCAAGTTTCGAGTAATGTGTATGAAGACTTGCCTATGCTTAAATCGAGACTTGTACTTGCCGTTGGCTGTCGATAAGTCGTCGCAAGTCAAAAGGCATAAGTAGCATATGGCAAGTAGGCAGGTCGCTACATTACTTACTGCGACAAGTTTTTATTGTTCGGTTTGTGGTTGAAATGGAGTGGAGTTGTGGAAGGAAAAGATATAAACGAGTTCCATGATGCCTGGAAACGTGTTCAAGCCGAGTTATTAAGAAAAATCCAAAAATAGAAATTTTCTATTTTTTGCACTTTTTTCTAAGGGTACCCCTTCGGATTTTTGATTCGAAATCTTCAATGTCAAATATCTTAAATTTCAAAATTTTAACTTAATTTCCACTTTGAGGCTCAATATCTTGGAAACTTTACAATCTACAAAAACCAATTTTGCACGGGCTTATGAAGAAGTTAATGCTATTTTCAATGATATATAGTTTTTATTAATTTGCTTGAAAATAATCGAAGATATAGGCAATTATTCATGAGCATGTCAAGGAGAATTCCTTTTAGATTTTTTTTCTCATCGAAATTTCCAAATGTAATTAATGTTAGAGTTATTTCTCACTAACTTGGACTCGCTCTATCGATTTCTGAAGTCAAAATTAAGGAAAATCCAAAAATAGCAATTTTCAACTTTTTGCACTATTTTCCAACCTACCCCCTTAAATATGTCAGTAACCAAAACCATTTACTCTATATCTCTAAAACTCCACAAACTACAAAACCCAATATTGTACAGGTATTATAGAGAATTTACTGCACTTTTCAATGATGTATAGTTATTATTAATTTGCCCAAAAATAATCGAAGAACAATAATTGAGAAACCTCAAGAGTTATATTAGAACAAGTAGGAATCAATTTAGAACTGGAAACCTTTTAGAACTCTATTGGCAGCTAAAATACTTAAAAATCTGTCAGAACAATTTAGAAGTTACTCAGGGCCGGATTTAGGCACAGGCAACCGAGGCAACCGACTAGGGCGCCACAATTAGGGGCGCCAAATTGACAACAAATTTATTTCGAGTGAACAAGTTAAATAAAAAAAAAAATGTTCTATATCACAAGGATGATAGGGAGATAATTAAAGGTCCAACAACATTGTCCGGTAATAGTTAATTTACGAATCACCACTGTCACCTGTCACCGCTCAACAAGGCACTCTCGATCCTCTTTGTCTCAAAACAGATTAAATGGACTTTCGCTCTCAGAATTGAAAATGTTATAACCTTCGACCATTGAACACACTCGAACCCGATGGTTATAACATGTTAGATGGTGTAGATTATAGTAGGTCTGTTCTCACAGGAATCACAAACCAGCCAGAGCGTTTTTGCTTGGCGCAAATCTCCAACAACCAGTTTTATGACTATTTTCAACCAATGAAATTCCCTCTGACTGGTTTGTGATTTCTGTGAGAATAAACCTATCAACGAACTCATCTCTGACTTTGCAAGACGTAAAGCCAGACTGGTTACTGGTTCATTTTTAGTGTTGATAATTTCATTAGTTTTGGAAAACTATTTTTGTGTTCACTTAATTTGAAAAATACATATTATACTGGTTGTCCGGAAAATAGCGTAAAAGCTCTCCACTACGTAGTAGGGGATCCTTTGAGTAACCCTGGAAATATGAAGAGGTAAATGTGGAAATTCAACTTCCTTATTTTTGATTTTTCTTTCAAATTGCAATATTTTGTACAAAGTGTTATGTATCTTTTGTTGATTCATTACATATTAGTTTTAAAAAATTTGTTGTTAACATTTAAAACGCATTATGAAAATTGCAAAATCTCTAAATTACAACAGGAAAAATTGATCTGACAACATTTTTCAGTCACCTTCGAATTTTCTAGGTAATTACATAGGTATTTAATTTAATTCTGTGACAAATTGTTAACGGGATATTTTCAGTGTTGCCGATTTTAATAAACATTAAAATGCTAATAACTTTCTTAAAAATGCCACCAAAATCTGTTCTCACAGACATCACATACCTATAGTTGAATTCACGATAGAGAATTTTGACCGTTATTTTCACCAGTTGAAAGTACATGAAATCCCCAGATCTGTACCTTTTTCTGTCAACTATCAAATAGTGATACATGACATTTCGATTTGACATATAAAAATATCAGATTCTGGACTTTGAATTTTGAATTTTTGTGTGAAATCGTTTCAGTTTTTTGTCGTTTTCTGCATTGTTTTTTGATTTTTTGTATCCGCAATCGGTTTTTTGGTTTTATATGTAGTGTTCTGTGCCTTTGTGTTTCGGTGTTGCGTTTCAAACCCCTGGTTCTAGTGTTTTCTAGGATTTAAGTGTTTACTCATTTTATGTGTTTACTTTGGACTCTAATTTTTGGATTTTAGGATTTTAATAACTTAACTTCCTTTAAAGAAATTGGAAATAATTTTTTTTTTATTCTGAAATGTATATCACTTTTCTAAATACGACCCTGTCGTTTATCCCAGCTGACGGTATCGTTACTTTTTTGTCTTACTCTCTAAGCGATAGCCTAAAATTCATTATTCATCATATTGATCTTTAACCATTTTGACAAATTAATTTCAGAAAGGGGGCGCCAGAATTGAACTTTGCCTCGGCATAAAATACCTATTGGACCGGCCCTGAAGTTACTGAACAAATTTTAAAATGCTCCAGAACTCTTCATACCAAGTTAAAACACTTTAGAACTTTAACAAGGCATTTGGAACACTTTCCAGCGACATTTTGAACATTTCGAAAACCTCGGAATTATTTCAGAGAGCCTAGCGCCTGGAATAGACAAAAATTGAAAGTTATAATCCAGGAGTGTTCCAAAACCGTCACAAAAACGGTTTCGAAGCCAGTTTGAATACGATTTTCGGATTCTAGGCTTTGCACAATCTTGACGGTAATTTGTACAGTTTTCCGCTTTGTTGGAACAAAGCTAAAATAAACTTTCTTAAAAAATTTAATACTAATTTGGCCCTGTATAGCTAGAAACAGGGGATTTACACTTGCCGTCGGGGTACTACTCTACTACGCAGTTAGTTTTTTTGCCTATCTCACTTTCTCATATTTATAAACCTTATCAGTTTACCTTTTTTTTGGGGGTTGGCGGGGGTTCGAGATTCGGATTTCTTTGTCGGACAAGACAAAAGGATTCAGTCGAGTACTGAACGCCGATAGATGAAGTATCGACAGTCGCGACTGGGGATTATCGATTTTTCTCACACGAAAAGCTAAGATTTTTCGGCCGTCACTTTTCGAGTCAAGTTCCAGGAATAAGAACTTTTAATGTCAGAGATACAGAAGTTTTCTAGAAAATCTAACACGCCTATTTTCCTCAGTATTTTTTTTTACTTGACTTTCCAAAAATGTGTAAAAAAAGGAGAAAGTATGAATAAATTCTGTGTACTGTTTGAAAAGAATGCTGTGTATGCCGGATGTAAGTACTGTTATATTAGAATGTTGGAGTGTCCCAAAGAAAATTGATTTTTGTCCAGTTTTCAATTGAATGGTTGTTTAAGCCACTTTAAATCCATAGCTACAAGTGTTAGCTATTGTCACTGGAAATCATCCAAAGATGTTTTTGTGTAATGGTCCAATGTCTATAAAAGTGTCTCCAAATCAGTCCTAATTATCGCAAATTTCAAGCCACTACCACTAGCAACAACCCAACTAACCTAACACAACTAACCTCAACTTTGGGTAATTGCTAATGGTAGTCCACTAACATTTTTAGCTATTTCTAAAATAAATTCAATATAAAGGTGCATATTAATTCACTCTTTATGCTAGAGAAATATGCAGCTATCCAGTTGTAGGTATATTTTTCAAAAAGGCAATTTGAAAGTATTCAAGTTTTTTGAGACAGTCATGGACGTGTTGGGTGCACTCTTGGAAAACCAGTCATTTGAGCCAAGGATTTATGAGAATTTGGTCAATAGTTGATTAGTAGGTCTAATAATAGTCCAGGAGTCAAGTCAACTATCTGGACACTTTGGAACCCGAGCTGAAACTTTGTGTTGACATGTTCTTTATGTTTATATGAGCATTTTCTTTATATTTATTAACAAAAATATAACTTATAAGAGCTGACTTTCATTTCTCAGGTTTTCACGTAAACAAGTAAATTAGGTACAGGGTGGTTTACTATAAGTAAATTGAACTTCTGTTGATGTTGAGGTTTTATAGATAACTTTGAATTATTTTATGTTTTTTAATGCTTCTTCCATGTTATCAGCACATTTTAATTGATTTGAGTCATCAAACTACAAATCCACGAACAATTTTCCTGCCATTGTGTTATTTTCTTTTAGGTGAGTCCCCCTGTAAGCAAACAAAGTCCAGAAGTCATCTAGGCCCGAATTCCAATTGACTACGATATCGGATTAGGCGCTTTCGGTCTCAATATCGTATTTGGTATGTATTATCAACGTTTAGTATTGAAAGCGATTCGATTTCGTGATCTCAATAGCAAATCGAATCCCATAGCTGAGCCTAATGAATATCACTTCTGGTGAAAATTGCTAGACGGATTTTTGCGAGGTACCATCGTCACCAAAAGTATCTGGGACACAGATAATGCATAATAATCTCCTTGACTAATTCTACTGTCATTCATTTCAGTGCATTTAATTCACAGCATAGTTTGACAAATATTTGACAATAAAATTCATATAATAGGACGAGCTAATGTGTTGCTGTCCCAGTTACTTTTGGTGACGATGGTACATATTTATTTTGAAATTTTAGTATGATGAACTCCTAACTTTCCTCTTTTTCTCCTGGAAGTTTTATAATTTTCCCTTCAGTTGTTTTCCAGAAAAAAATCAAAGTGCAAGAGGGTGCATTTTTGCTTAATTTGGATTTTGCAAGTTGATTTTCCATTACTTAATTTCCCATTTTGTTATTTTTCACTGGAAAATTTTGAAATTTTAGTATGATGAGCTCCTAACTTTCCTTTTTTTTTCCCTGAAAGTTTCATAATTCTCCCTCCAGTAGTTTTCCAGAAAAAAATAAAGTGCAAAATGGTGCATTTTTGCTTCATTTGGATTTTGCAAGTTGATTTCTATTAATTTCCCATTTTGTTATTTTTTCCTGGATAAGTTTGAAATTCCAGTATATGAGCTCCTAACTTTCCTCTTTTTCTCCAGAAAGTTTCATAATTTTCCCCTCAGAAGTTTTCCAGAAAAAAATCGAAATGCAAGAGGGTGCATTTTTCCTGGCATTTTTGCTTTTTTTGAATTTTGCAAGTTGATTTTCATTAATTTCCCATTTTGTTATTTTTCACTGGATATGAGATTCAAATTTTAGTATGATGAGCTCCTTACTTTCCTCATTTCCTCCTGGAAGTTTCACAATTTTCCCTTCAGTAGTTTTACAGAATAAAAATAGAATGTAAAAGAGTTCATTGATATCCATGAAAATTATGTAATTTTTATTTTTTAGGTGAGCTTCCCCGAAGAGAATTCAGAATCTTCTGAGCCTAGTCAAGTAGAATAGACTCCTAATTATTTCTGGTGAAAATCTCAATTGAGGTGTATAAGTCTCAAAACAAAAAAATACAAGGTAATATTATACATTTTCCACATATATTAATTTAGCATTTGGTTTTAAACTTTTCATTCACTCAAAATAAAATATTTGAAGTTGCATTTTACTAATATCCACCAACATTTGTGGTTTGAGCGGTTCTTTTTAGTACCAGCTGCTCCGCGGAGAAGCCTAATGCCATAGTTGTCCTGGATCTCATTTGCTGCACTTTATAGTATCACGGTAAGTGTAGCAGCGGCAAAACTATAACTGGCGAGAAGGGGTTAAATTATGGATGCTCTTGGGTGTCGGTATAATGTAATTCCAATAGTGGATCACGCCCAAAAAGAAACAACAGCTGAATGATCTCTCTTCGATAATTTTGTTTTGTGTGAAAATAAATGAAGACAATATCATCATCATCAGCCAGCTTCCTGGACATAAGTTGTTTCCAGAATATTAACAGCTGAATAAATTTTTGTTTTGTGTGTTTTATATAAAGCTTCAACATGGCTTCCTGGACATCATGAGTCCTTTCAAGTTGCTTCCAGAGGTCTTTCCAGAACATTGTAAACCCAAATACGAGATTTCCTTTTCCTGTTCCTAAACCGTGTTGTGTTGATTTTCATGCTTTTCAGGATATGTTTATGAGGATTTTATGCTTTTCGGGTTAGGATTCCCCGGACACTGTTGGATATTTTATTTTTTTCAGGGTAGGATATCATTGGAAGCTGAAATAGGTAATTTCTAACATTTCTACATTGAATTTTTACTAATATAAAGTTGTTTTCCATCCATTCATCCCTTTTCCAAGTTGAACCAGGAAGCAAGTTGGTTTTAGCTCTGGATATGGCACAAATGGACCAACTTTGCTTTATGGATCCCTTTGGGTGGTTAATAATAATATTAATAAATTTTTGTCTTTTTCAAGCATAATAAGAATACATTTATCTAACATTCCGGATTTTTCTTTTCTATGTCCATTTTGTCTTAACGTCTTTTCAGGTTTTGTCATCATTACTCTGGCTTACCGGGGATACCACTCAAAGAAAAAACGAACCGACAGCGTGTACCTCTAGGGTGGTGTGGAAATTTGGCTTATTCAAGTTACAACTGGCAAACTTAATAAGGTAAGTTATTGAAAATGAAAGTTTTCCACAACAAGAAACCTAAATTATAAACTTTTTGTTACAGGGCAACTACTAATAACCAAGAGTTAAATCCTAAATCTGCAAGATTTGTGAAGAAAGAAGCTAAAAAGGACACCAGAATTATGTAAAGTCATGGTAACAACTTGAAAAAAACCTGGACCTCATATGGTGAGATTTTACTGTTTGTTGTCTAGTTTTTTTCATTTTGGAAACTGGAATCATAAAAGACTTTACCTACTTGTTGAGAGTGAGTTCTCCAATTCCAAGGTCCAGGGACAAAAATCAAATTGGGAAAAAATTGCTTTTTGTTTTTAGTTTGGGTAAGTTCTTCCAGAGGAAAAGATGCTCGATTCTGCCTCTAGAATATCTAACATCTACAGATTGGTTTTGAGCCCCCCAGAACAACTTCCAGATTCAAAATTCAAGTCGCATACTTGCATACAACTTTCAACAAAACCGAAAATAAATTATGACTTGCTAGAGCACTCTCCCAACTTCTTTAGATGTGCAAGCGATTTTTGCCGCAACCACTTCCCGCCAATTTTGCGACTTGCTGGGAGAGGACTGTTGGGCACTGTTTACATTCAGCAAATTCTTTGGAAGTACTTTCAGACATAAACTTGCGATTGGTTAAGTTGCTCGTGTAAACTACACTTAACACTGACGAAGACCAGATGAATCGTTCTCATGAGAACGCTGTTCCCGTTTCGATAATAGGCACATCTAACTATAATAGCTGTTTATACAATAAGTTACGAAATGAGCGTCTTTTAGGCACGCGAAGTGAAAATTGTCCAACGAGGCAAAGCCGAGTTGGACAACACGTCGAGTGACTAAAAGACATCGTTTCGTAACGTATTGTATACAAGATTTTTTCTACTGGCGTAGTACAATTTTATTTCAGTGAAGCGGTTTACACCAAAAAATTTTGTGACCTCCTTTTGCTTGACACCTGACACTTTTCATGCGATTTTTTTTCAGGATTTGACATCAATAATTAAAATCCTAGGAAGAAGGTGACAACACAAAGTTCTGTTTTGAGTAACCCAAACGATCAATTGAATAATTTCATTTTTAATATTCATAATAAATACAAAACAAAATTCAAATCTGTGTTTAGTGTGTTTTTTATTTCTAAACAATGAATGACACTTTTAGGCACTAGTGCTTAAAAATCACTTTTACGCACTTAAAATTCACTTTTACGCATTCAAATGTCACTTTTACGCACTGAGTGCCTAAAAGTAACTTTTACGAACTCAGTGCTTAAAAGAATGTCGTTTCAAAACTAAAATGACAATCGAAAAGTTGCTATTATGAAACGTCAGTAGAAAAAACATTTTATTTACATTTTCTCGAAAAAAGGCCGTTATTTGTCTAGCATAATGAGTTTTATTCCATAATAGGTAATCTTCAGTTGCATGCATTATTTCATCAGAAAAATCAATCAAAAACTCTTACTTTTTTTTTCACTGCATTTTAACGAAAAATCTAATTAAATTTCGAAAAACGTTTCCAAATACCTAGAAACAAAATACACCAAATTGCTATCTTGATTTTTTCAAAAATCAGTTTTTTAGCTGAAAGGTAGGGGGTGTTCACTTTATACTGGATCACCCTGTACATCATGATACTAACAACTGTACTCTAATTAATAATCAACATTTTTGCCAAGATAACCACGATAAACCAACCACTGCGAAACAAGTGCGTGTACCAATGTTGACTTAAGTTGACTTGTAAAATAAAAATCCTACCTCTTGATCCACATATTGCAACAAATAAGTCCAACCTGTGAAATCTGCAGGATCGTCGTTGACCGCTTTCCAATATTTATCAAGTTCTGGCAACTTTTTAGGTTTTGTTTTTCCTGCATCACCTAAAACAGCAACGTTCAATGTAAGTATTGAGGAACCAAAGGAGATGGTTTTTTGAAGAATAGAGGCAGGTTGCATAAAAATTCTCCTGTGAATAATCAGGAAGCATAAGGAATACTTTTGTTTACTTGTAAAAGTCAAGATTGCGCCAACAACGAATTTACTCAAGAAACTATAAAAGTGATTGAACTTAAAAATCTAGTGAGTGTACGTACAAATTTCTGATGCTTCCAAGAAATATTGAATTGAGATCAAGTAAGTTTCAAGTGGTAAGGAATGGAAAGCCAGATAAAAATACCTTTACCTAGGGGCTAGAAGTATTATTTTGATTTGTATTTTGATTTTACAATAAGTTAGCGACAGTCGCGATAGAAAGAGCTAGAAACGCGATAAGAAAAAAGAGAAACATACAATTAATTTCAAATGTGCCTAACACATTAGGATTTGACATGTTGAATAACTTTAGAATAAATTATTGGATAAAACTGAGCAATTAAATATTGATTAAAAATAATAATAAAATTCCTACCTTTATCTTTTTCCGTTTTCTCTTCTTTTGGTTTTTTAGCAGGAGTCTCACTTTCTCCTGTGGGCGATCCCGGAGAATAACATGGGGAATAGGACTGGGTGCCCGCGCTTCCATCAAGGCCTAGTTTCCTTTTGCTCCTCTCTCTTTGTTTAATCTGTTCATCATCCATTGGTTCGTCAGCTTCTTCATCCTTTTTAGGCGTTTTAGGACTTTTGAGCTCGTCCTCAGACACCACTTCAGTATCAGCGGGTAGTTCGGCCCGTTCTGGTCCAGGTAGCTCTTCATCAGATACCTCTTCAGCTTCTGGAACCTTTTCTACAGGTGGGGCTGGCAGTTCTTCATCGGAAATGTATTCAGTTCCGGTAACACCCATTTTCTCTTTTTCTTTTGTATCATTAGCATTTTCTTTTACGTCGTCAACAGTAGTTTCTTTTACATCGTCAACAGGTTTTTCCTTTACTTCGTCAACAGTATTTTCTTTTACTTCGTCAACAATATTTTCTTTTACTTCGTCAACAGTATTTTCTTTTATTTCGTCAACAGTATTTTCTTTTACATCGTCAGTACCTGCTTTCACATCATCAGTTTCCATGTCTTGTGCCAAACCATTTTCTTCTTGATGCAAGCCATTCTCCTGTTTCTCTTGTTCAACTACTTGTGCTATAGCAACTCCATCATTTTCTATTTCCTCTTGTATTAAAGGCACAGACACTTCAGATACTGTTTCCTGTCCTTTGACAACGTCTTCAATTTCCTTTTCTTCTGAAACGTCGTTAATTGCCATTTCTTCTGGAACGTCGTTAACTGCCATTTCTTCTGAAACATCGTTAGTTTCCATTTCTTCAACATTACTGCCGATTTCCTGTTCAATTTTCTGGTTGGTATGAATAATTCCTTCCAGCATGGCAATGTCGTTCATTATTAGTTCGTCAGATTTCTTTTCTGACAGGTCTTGACTGCCTAATAACATTTCATCTTCTTGGCTATTAGTTGCCTCACAAATTTCACTATCTGAATCTGCTAGAAGTTTGTCCTCATCCAATTGGACCTAAAATATTAATTAATTTATTTTGGATTTTCATTAAAATTATACTAGAAATGTTTACCTGTTCCTCTTCTGTTTTTTTTAGTCCCTTTTTAGGTGACATTTCTTCAGTAGGTTCCACTTGCTTACTAGATGGCACTTCCTCATCAGTTTTGTCTTCAGTGGTTGTGACTTCCTGAACAGCTGACTTCTTGCGATTTTTGCGGCTTGCTGGGCAAGGTTTTGCTCTAGTTTGTACAGGTTTCTTTACTGCTCTGCCAGATCGTGTCCGAACTAAAATTTACATAGATATATATATATAGTAGCAATCGCAGACCCAAGCAGCTCAGCGGTTGTGTTTTCGCTTTGCATGCAGTGGGTCTCGGGTTCGAATCCCGGCTAGGTGCATGGATGTTTGTTTGTTTGTTTGTTTGATTTGGTTTGTGTGTGATGTTGGAGGCTTTGTCGACAAACCACAGTGGTGGTTTCTGACAAGAAAGCAGAAAAAAAAAAAAAAAAAAAAAAAAAAAAATCGGTTCGGTTTAGTATGTAGTGTATTATGCCGTAGGAATAAATGTGAAAAATTTCATAATTCAGTTGTAAAATTGCAAAAATGAAATAAAAAAAGAACATAAACCGGTCGGTAGGAAAAAAAAAACACATTCCTGCTAGCCAGGCCGCGTGAACAAAAAATTGTACAAAACTTAGTACAAAGCATTATTTTCATGCCGTGAAAAATGGAGTGTGATATTTGCAGAGTTCCGGGCGGCAGCAGAAACCCAATTTTTTGCTGTGATACGTGCAAGGGAAAATACTGCAAGCCTTGTGCTAACCTTACTTCATCCGAGGTAAAAGTTTTGGAACTTAAGGAGAGTCGAGTCCTAAAATTTATTTGTGAAAAATGTGAGAAATTTGAACACCATACCCTGTTACAAAAAACAATCGAAGATAAACAGCATATAATTCAAGCCAAGGAGGAAATAATTACCCTGTTGAAGAATAAAATAGAAGAATTAGAAAAAACTCGCATAGATAATATAGGACAGCAATACACATACAGTCAACTTACCCAGACACAGAAGGGCCAAAGAATACCTCAGAATGATAAAATCAACCTTCCTAGTATTATTATAACACCAAAACAACAACAGACAGTAGAGAAGACAGAATCAGAGATCAAAAAGACAATAAAACCATCGGATCTGAAGATATGTATAAAAAGCACTAGAAGTACGAAAAATGGTAGCTTTCTTATAAATTGCACAAATGGGAAGGATATTGAGACTCTACGAAATGAAGCAGCAAATAAATTGAAGGACTATGATGTTCAAATAACAACAATGAAGCTGCCAAGATTTAAAATAATAGGTTACAACGGCGATCTTGACGAACTACAAATAACGAGATCCATTAGAGAACAAATAATTTTCTAGAAGAAAGTGAAATTTTTAGAATATCCTACATCAGAAAATCTAAAAAACCAAATTCCGCATCCATGATATTTGGTGAATGCTCACCATCATTGTTTTAAAAGATTATGTTTACAAACACAATATATATTGAATGGCAGGCGGTATCCGATTTATGAAGATCTGAGTATACCAAGGTGCTTTAAATGCCAGCAGCACTACCACAAAACCGAAAAATGTCCAAATAAACAGATATGCGAACATTGCTCAGAAGAACATCATATAAAAAACTGTCCAAAGCAACTTCAAAAGTGTGCAAATTGTGTTATGGCAAATCTCAAGTACAAACTAAACTACAGTGTAGATCATAAAGCAAGTGATACTGAATGCCCCTCATATCAATACCTGTTGAACATAGTGAAATCAAAAATAGACTATGGCTGTGGAAATGGCTACTGAACAACAAGAACTCGTGGTTTTACAAAATTTAGAGACTTTAGTTACTGAAATTCAACAGGAAAGTATATGTTGTGATTCGATTAATGGTAAGATTATGTTACAAAAAAAATTGTTAAATGTATTGCATTTAAATATCCGAAGCATTCATAGAAATTTTGATGAATTTTTGGTTTTCCTTCAAACATATAAGATACATTTCTGTGATATGATGGTGTTAGGAGAGTCATTTGAAAGTAATGATAATGAATATCATATTGACGGTTATTCAATGTTTTTTAACCAAGCTAAATACAATAGGAATGATGGTGTAGTAATATTTATAAAATCAAAACTCATATACAACATTGAGCATTATGTACTTAAGAAATCAAAAGTAACAGTAAGCAGTGTCATTATACAAAAGAATAATAAAATGTTTAATATTATGTGTCTATATAGACCACCCAATACAAACAAACAACTTTTTTTGGAAGACTTGGAACAACTTTTAATAAATAACAAACTGCAAACTCAGTTCGATGTCCTTCTGGGCGATATAAATATAAATATCCTCGAAAAAGATGATAATACCGTAAATTCGTACCTTTCTTTGCTAAATCATTTTGGTTTCGTCTCTTATATTAACGCTCCAACTCGTGAAACTTTGGAAACAAGCTCTTGCTTGGATCATATTTTTGTGAGGAATAAACTAAATATTGAGAATCTAAAATGCCAATCATATATTCTACAATCTGATTTAACTGATCATTATCCTGTTATGATGAATTTGCATATAAATCAGTCAGACCAGTCAGACAGTGACAGCACAACTGAAAGAAAGGTTGTGACTAAAAAAATTACTAGAACCAACGAAAAAGATTTTGCCAATCTATTAAAGTCACAAAATTGGAATAATGTATTACAAAAGAATGATGTAACAGAGGCAACTGATGAGTTCTACAAAATAATGACTGACATACTTGACAGAAGTACCAGTACAAAAGTACATATAATAAAACAACATGGCAAACATAAACCCTGGATAACGAACGGGATAATATCAAGTATTAAGATAAGGGACAAAATGAAAAAGAAACTTCTGATGAATGTTGATGAAATGAATAGCAGGATGTATAAGATCTATAGAAATAATCTCCAGAAAATAATCCAAAAACGAAAGCATGAATATTACCAACAAGAAATCAGAAACGCAGGAAACAACTTAAGAAAAGTTTATAATTTAATATCTGAAGCGACAAACGGAAATAAACAGCAAAATAAAAACAAATCTATACCACCTATAACGGACAATAATGCCATATCATTCTCCAATGAAAAAAATATGGCAAATTTTTGTAATAACTATTTTATTGAAATTGGAATTAATATGTCAAATAAAATACAAAAACCAGTAAACGAACAAAAAATAAACTCAGATATTTTGCACTCTTTATTTCTGAAGCCTGTCGATGCTAACGAAATAATAAAACATATAAGTCAAATAAAAAACGACAGTGCCCCTGGAATGGACAAAATCGATGCTAAACTTATAAAGAAAACTCATGAATATTTAACCAAACCCTTAGTACATATAATTAACTTGATTTTTAGTAGTGGTAGAGTTCCTGATCAATTTAAAATTTCAATTGTGACTCCAATTTTTAAATCAGGAGACAAGTCAAACATAAGTAACTATAGGCCCATTAGTGTAATAAATAATTTCTCAAAATTTTTGAGAAATGTGTTAAAGACAGACTACTTAATTTACTTAATTTTTTTCAAATAAACAATATCCTTTCAAAGAGACAGTATGGATTTTTGAGTGGTTCTGGGACCTCTGATGCGCTCCATGAACTTACCAAACAAATAACAGAGAACTTGGATAGGAGTGAGAAGTGTATCGCAGTGTTTCTGGACCTGGCGAAGGCATTTGACACGGTGCCCCATAACCTGCTCCTAGACGTGCTGTTTGGATATGGTATTAGGGGCACCGTGCTGAGTGTCTTCGAGAGCTACCTGAGTCAAAGGAAACAGTATCTGAAGATCGGAGACACAATTAGTGATCCTTTAAGGGTTAAAATAGGAGTACCCCAAGGAACCGTTTTGGGTCCAATACTCTTTATCACATTCATAAATGCTTTGACGGACCTACTGATTGATAATGGCTCCCTGATTTCATACGCAGACGATACAGCAGCAGTATTCTCAGCTAAGACATGGCACAATGTAAAAGAAAAAACAATGGCTGGGCTATCCAAGGTAAAAGACTGGCTTGACAATTTTAAATTGACGCTTAACGTGCAAAAAAACAAATTATATAGCATTCTCTCCTACTGAAGCCGATCGTCCTGATTTTACTTATATACGTATTGAAAATTTTGATGACAATATTAGAGAAACATCATACACAAAATATCTTGGCATTGTTATTGACAAACATTTGAAATGGGATCATCATGTTCTTTACCTTACAAATAATTTAAGGAAATTAATTCACAAATTTTATGTGCTAAGAGAAATTTTAAACAAACAACTTTTAACTTCAGTTTATAAAGCCATTGTTGAATCAATAATACGTTATGGTATAGTTGTGTGGGGTGGTCTATATCGGAATTCTCTAAAAACAGTTAAACACTGTTCAGAACTATATTCTCAAAGTTATAAACAAGAAAGGTAGAAGATATTCAACTGCACAGCTGTATACTCATGAAATATTGAATGTCAGGACATTATACATGTTAGAGATTTGTTCCTTTATCCATAAAAATGAAAACTTAAAAAATTATGTGAATCATATATATGAAACGCGAAACAGGGTGAACAAACACATCCAAATACCGATAAGCAAAAAAAATGTTAATCTTAGATTTGTCAATTATTTAGCACCCAAAATTTATAATATTATTCCCCTAGAAATAAAGACGATTGAAAAAAATAGTCTATTTCGAAAAAAATGTAGAATGTTTATTGTTGAAAATTTAGAACTGTTTAGAATATTTTTTTGAATATTGTATATTAGCATTTGAGGCATGTATCACTAGTTGGTAAACATTTGCTTGAAATTATCTAGTAGTTTTTGAACGTTTTCACCGGCACATACAGATGTTAGGTCATCTAGGTGCCGTTTTGAACAATTGAAAAATATGTATTATTTTGAAACCCATGTAAATTTTTATAAGTGAATAAATAAACATTATTATTATTATTATTATTATTATTATTATATTTCCGACTGCAAAATCTGATAGCAAATTCTTGTTTAGAATGGTCTAAAAGCCAAATGTACTAATTTTTGTTTCAATACGATACAGGGTGATCACATCACAACAAATTTTCAAAATTTAATGGACCAAACCGGAAAAATGTCATATTTTGAGGCCTTGAAAACAACAAAACTTGATACAACATGGTTTTAGAACATCAATAATCAAAACCTGTGGTATAAGC